CCGTGTCGGGGGGCGCCGTCGTTATCTTCATCATCGTCGGCAGCATCGCTACTATCATCATCGTGTTTGCCGTTGTCGACGTCGCCGTGATGCCGCCCCCGCCCGAGTCATCGACTCGCCGTGAACTGCCCGAACCACAGCGCGGCCCTGGAGACGTGTTCAGAAGTCCCTGGTGACCAGAACCACTGCGGCCGCGTTTGTCGGTCCAACCCAGCAGGCTGCTGTGCGCGCGAGCCTGCGCGCTCCAGCGCGGCCGCAGCGATCCGCCGGCCAGCGCCAAACAGTTATCTGAATTGCTGCCGCATGGTTTTGCCTGCCAGGTTGCGGGTGTGTGGGGGGGGCGGTTGCGCGAGCAATGGAGTTGGCAACCTCAAGTTCGGCAAGGTGAGTTCGCGCCACGAAGATTCTCCTGCGTAGCGATAGAATATGATCTACCCCCCAGCATTTTCGCCCCCCTTTCCCGAATATGCAATTTCTATATATTTCCGCCCCATCGTCCATGTTAGATGTGACATCATACCGTCCAGTTGGGCCCAGCGTCGCCATCCCAGTCGAATGATACTATGCGCGCGCACTCGAATCCCTTGGGACAGAATGATGCGAGGTCGACACGTGCGCGGCGTCGCGCGCGCGTGCCAAAATGTTTACAAAACCGTCGGTTTCGCACGGGTTTCAACATTATTGTCCCCGAGAGCATATGGCACACATGGTTTTGCAACACGTTTCTTCAACAAAATGTATTCGCGAGCGCTCTTGCGAATTTTTACGACAACCCATTGATTCGTCATCGAATGCGACCAAACGGGCCTCTCGCGCGCGCGTGCCGAAATCATTCGACTGTCTTTGCGCGCTCGCTTGGTGGGGGCGGGGCGCGGTCCCTGTCAAATGACGCCGCGCGGGCCACTCGCGCCCAGCTGCCGCGCGCATGTCGAACTTCTTCAGGACTGTCAACACCGACGCGTGGGGGCCATCATGGTCACCAGCGTGATCAGCATCGGTTCCGTCATCGGCGTTGCCGTCGTCATAGTCATCATCGCCAGCAGCGTCGCTACTATCATCATTGTGTTTGCCATTGTCGACGTCGCCATGATGCCGCGCCCGTCCGAGTCACCGACTCGCAGTGCAGTGCCCGTGCGGCAGCGCGGCTCGTGAGACTCGTTGGGAAGTCCCCAGCTGTCAGCACCGCCGCGGGCGCGTCCGTCTCTGGCCGCTGTGCGCGCGAGCCTGCGCGCGCCAGCACGGCCGCAACGACCCGCCAGCCATCGCCGAGCAGGCGTCGCAGCTGCTGTTTCATAGGTTTTGCAAAGCAAATTGCGGGTGTGCGGGTGGGGGGATTGCGCGAGTTGTGGAGTTGACGACTCATTGCGAACAACAGTTCATTTCACAACCTGGGTCCTCTTTTCTATAATTGAATCTTGGTGTATCATTCCCCTCTTCTATGTGCACTGTACATTTGACAACGCATGGTTTCGTGGCGCAAAAACAAGCGCGTGCCCCTGTCAACGCATACCATGCGGATCATTCGCGCGCCTCGGCCGCGCGCGTGTCGAAATCCCACCAAAACCTTCATTGCCAACGCGTGGGTTTCATCGTCGTCATCGGGGTGACCAGCATCGGTACCGTCATTGGTCTCGCCGTTGTCGTTGTCATCATCGTAACCATCACCGCTACTATCATCAACGTTTCCGCCTTTGTCGACGTCACCATGATACCGCGCCCGCCCGAGTCACCGACTTGTACTGAAGCGCCCGCGTGTCAGTGCGGCCTGCGAAACGCGTTGGGGAGCCCCCAGCTGTCAGCGCCACCGCGGGCGCGTCGGTCTCGCCAGGCTAGCTGGTCGCTCTGCGCGCGAGCTTGTGTGCCGTAGCGTGGCCACTGCGATTCGCCAGTCAGAGCCAAGCAGTCATCGCACTCGCCGCCGGATGGATTTTGCAAAGCAAATTGCGGGTGGGTGGGTGGGGTGATTGCCCGAACTATGGAGTTGGTAACTCCATCTTCGTCGGAACTATCTACGCGACATGGATCGGGCGACCTAGATCGCGCCGCATATCGCACCACAACATATATTGTTGCCTCGTGGGCCTGTCGCGCGCGTTGGTCGCGCGTGCATGTCGGAATCATTTCAAAACCTTCATCGCCGACGTCATCGTTATCGGCTGGCGTGATCAACGTCGGCGCGGTCATTGGCCTTGCCGTCGTTACCGCCATCATCGTCACCATCATCGCTATTCTGGTCATAGTGTCTATCGTAGCCGGTGTCGCTGTACTAGAGCTCTTGCCCACGTCACCGACTCGCCCGCCCGCTGGAAGTGCCCAGCGGTCAGCGCCACCGCGGCCGCGTGGTCGCGCCGCATTAGCTGGTCGCTGCGCGCGCGAGCATGCGCGGGGTAGCGCGGCCGCAAAAATGCACCAGCCAACGCCAAACACTCATCGTAATCGCCGTCGGTTGGGTTTTGCGAACCAAAATGCGGGTGGGTTGGTGGGATGTCTGCGCGAGCAGTGGAGTTGTCAACTTCAATTTCGGCAGGGTGACTTGCACCGCGTAGACCACGTAGGTGGCACAACATAGGTCGTTCGACATCGATTGCGCAACGTTGGTTGCGCGTCGTAGATCGTACCACGTAGCCTGCACAACATACAGTGCACCGCGTATATGGCATTGCGTATATCGCACCGCAGTGTATAATGTTCTGAATACGTTGTTTGGGGTCCATGCTGGCGCGAAAATTTCGCGCCAGTGTGCATAGCGCCCAATCGTTGATTGTGCAGCTGACGACGGCTCCACTTCCGAAAACTGCCGTTCGGGGATTCAGGGCATGTCGGACATCCCGTTCGCCCGTGAGAAGAGGATGCGGCGCAATGACAAGGGATGGGTGCGAATGGTATAGTGTAAGGTGTGGCGCGAACGCGCGAAGAGGAAGAGGAGGAGGGGGAGGAGGAGCAAACCAACAATCTTCGATCCCCGATTTATGCCGCGAGGCCGAAAACGGGGCGGTCGCTGGGAATTTCGACCATTTCCATGGGCCACGTTCTGATCCCAGAGCCGTTGCTTGGCGGTCCAAGAGCCGGGGGGCAGCCTCCACAGGCCGAAAATTGTTCAACGCCGTCGTACTCAATTGGCGACGCCCGATGCTTTTGACGCTTGATGTCATTTTTGATGTTTGATCAGGTTTCTTCGATGCTTGATCTCTGTTCCTTTTTTCTGGCTCGTCGTCGTCGTCGTTGTCCTCCCCCTGAATGGCTTGTCTGCGGCGGATGTATAAGGAAACTACGTTGGCCACGATGCGTTTCCATCTCCTGGTAAGAGCTCGCGCGTGTCGGACGAGTCATGGGGTCTGGCGTTTCTCGCTTCCCTTCGAACAATGTGAGCAAGCGTGGGCCCCAAACGGTCAGTTCTTGCACTGCGAAGGTGCAACCTATGTGATGCAAGCTATGCGGTGTAAGTTATGTGGTGCAGTTAATTTTTGCTCGCAGTGAGTTGTCAACGCCACTGCTCGCGCAATCATCCCACCCACCCGCCCGCAATTTGGTTTGCAAAACACATGCGGTGGCGATTGCGATGAGGGCTTGGCGTTGGCTGGTCCATCTTTGCGGCCGCGCCAACCCAAACGCGCGCGCGCAGCGGCCAGCTACCTTGGCTCGACCGACGCGGCCGCGGTGGCGCTGACCGCTGGGCACATCCCAGCGGGCACTTGAGTGCGAGTCGGCGACTTGGGCGGGCGCGGTATCATGGCAACGTCGACGACGGTAGACACGATGATGAGAATAGCGATGATGGTGACGATGCTGGCAAAGACGACGGCGCGGCCAGTCCGGGCGCCGATGCTGATGACGCCGACGACGATGACGGCGTCCTCGCGTCGGTGATGATGGTTTTGGGTGCGCGCGCGGCCGACGCGCGAGAGTGGCCCGCACGGTACTATTTGACACGGGCAGTGCCCCCCCAGCACGCGCGCAAAGGCGCGCGAATGATTTCGGCATGCGGCGCCCGAGGCCCTTTTGGCAGAGTTCCACGAACATGTTGAAAAGCGTGTGGCTTTCTGAAAAGACCACCAACAGTGCGAACGCGCGCTACTTTTAAAAGACTGATTTTGTGAAACCATTCTATATATATATGTGTGTTTTGTATAGTCGGTTTTGACATCGCTACGACACCGAAGGTTTTTGATGGATTCCGGCATGCGCGCGCGCGACGACGCGCGCGCGTGCACTTTTTTGTTATTGTTTTTTGTTTGTTGTGTTTTTCTGTTCGCTTTTTTGGCAAAGAATTCTCGCAACGGCACGTGGGCATGGGCATTCGAACGATTTCGACATGCGCGCGCGAAGCCCGTTTGGTAACATTTTCTGAACATGATGTAAAAACTATAGGTTTCCTTAATAAAAGAGCGCGCGCGCAAGTTTTACGACACCAGAGATTTGTGAATAATTTCGGCACGTGTTTTGCTACGGATCTTTGACAAGTAGGTAGGTTTTTTAATAAACGAGTGGGCGCGCATAACATTTTTAGCAAAGGATGGCGAGGGGGGGCGATACCGCCCCTCTGGGATGGTGTAGGTTCATTTTTAGGATGGACGATGGGGCACAGTCATATGTAAATTGCAATACGAAAGCGGGGGTCGATAATCCTGGGGGGAAGGTAGAGACTCTACGTGGTGCACGGTAGAGGCGGCAACGAGGGGCAACGGGCGGCAACGTGGCGGAACGTGGCGAAATTTCGGCGGACCCGTCCAACTCCTGAGTCGCGAAAGTAAGAACCCCTAAGTGGAAGCACTGTTTGGCGAAAGTTGGCGGCACTGCTTCGGTGTTGGGTTAGCGGGTTCGGTTTGCCCCCCTTCCCTTGCCCCCTGTATGGCCTGACTTTGTCGGTTGCGCAGGTTCGAGAGGGGGTACGCAGCACCCGTGCGCGCGCGCACGGTGCTGCCCAGCGCGAAACGGTTAGGTTATCGGCCAGTACTTCCCTTCTCCCCACTTGGGTTATCCCCGCATGAATCGATTTTGAGGCCGACGCGAGGGCGGCCATGGAGTACTCCAACGTGCTGCTCGCGCGGGCGCGTAAGGGCGCCAAGGCGCGGCCCGGCCGCGCCGCACCGCCTCCCCTGGGGCCTGGCGTCTGTTGGGGTCTCCGCTTTTTTCATTGGGACTCGGCTAGCTCTTGGGAGGTTACGATTTTTTTCAGCCTCCCTGATGAGGTCCGGGTTTCGACCACGGACATACCTGCGCCAAGGCCAAGTTCCGACCTCCCAGGAGTTGCTTCCTCAGAAGCCTCCCGCATGGGGTCGGCGGATCGCGCCGCATCACCGAGCATCAGGGATTCATGGGGCCCGACTTTCTCCACATTAGCGTCGCCGATGCATCGCCGACGTCGCCGATGCATCGGCGTTGCGTCGCGATCCCTGGTTTCCATCCAATCGGACCCCATGTGGGAGGCCTCTAAGAACCCAGCTCCTGGAAGGGCGAAATTCGGCATCGGCGCTGGTCTATCCGTGATCAAAACTCCGTTTCATTCGGCATGGTCCCGTTTAATTCGGCTGAATACTGCGCAATTCGGCTTCATCCCGAGGTTAGTCTCTCCAGATCTGGCCTACTGGCCCCCTGATCGGGCTTAGTCGGGTGTTGCTAGAAGTGCCCCTGGCCCAAGGTGCCGCTAGGATCTCCAAGGAGGCCCCACGGCCTCCAGAGCACCCCTCACGAGGCCCAGAGGGCCCGAGGGGCTCCAAGATTCTGCGATACCCTGCCTTCGTTTTAATGTTATCTTCTTTTGCCGAATTTTCTCATATCCTCTCCCCTCTTCACTTCTCTTCTCTTCTCTTCTCGCCGCTCCTCTTATTTTTATATTATATTCGCTAATGTTCTCTTCTCTTCTCTTACATTATCTTCTCTTATCTGCTCTTCTCTTCTCTTATTTCCTCTCCGCTCCTCTCATCTCCTCTTCTCTTCTCTCCTCTTCTCTCCTCTTCTCTCCTCTACTCTTCTCTTCTCTTCGGTTCTCTTTTCTTCTCTTCTCTTCTCTTCTTTCCGCCATGCCAAGGGGGACATCGACGCCGTCGGCGTCGCGCTCCCTCCTCCTCCGCTGCAACCGTCTCGCCTGCCTGGCACCGCGCGAAGGAGGAACCACGAGAGCAAGGAGAGGCAGACAAAGGCAGCCGAGAAACTGGGATACACAACCCTTGCAGGCCGACTTCAATGTTGAGACGCTGCCCGGCGGTATCTGTGTTTTGGAATTCTGTGTTGCGGGAATCTAGTTTGTTCACCACCCAAGCTCCTCATCGGCCAAGAAGTGCGGCGCGAAGCAGCAACGAATGCCGTCGCGCATTCGCGGCTGGGTTTGCTGAGGGCCCGTGAGGCCTCTTCCTCCTTCTCCTCCTTTTTTTCGTTCGGCCAGCCTGGGCGTGACGCTGTGGCGTTAGTGGTGGCTGAAGAAAACAACGACTCGGGTCAAAAGAAGGCACTTGGCGGGCGCCGCGGAAAAAAAAGTAGTGAGAGCGAAGGGCCAGAACATTAGTGAGAGTCGGCGCCCGCCAGGTGTGACGACACTCGCCTTGGTTGGATAGCAACAGCAGTACTAACAAACTGTAGCGTAAGTAATGGAGAGTCCCTTGTACGGTCAGTGTCGCCTCGGCAAGTTCAGGTAGGAAGCAAACCAAATCAGTTGTAGGGTTGCAGCCTAGGGTTTAGGTTGACCCCAAACCTGGTACAGCCTTCCTCCCCAACCCTCATCTCCAGACCTCCCCCCGTCCTCCGCCAAGTATAGTATTGGGCGTGCTGCAGTAGATAGTTTGCAGCTTGAGCAATGCAATTATTTAAATTAAGCAAGGAGAAGACTCCCCTCTTGTCAGCAGCAGGCTCATTCTTTAGCAAGCTGTAGGTCCGCTCTTCGGTTCCTAGGTGGAGGGGCCACCGTCACCGTTTGTGGACCTGGAGTAGTGAATACGTGCAAGAGTCGACATGCATGGGTGGAGGAGAAGCAGCTATACAATGTGCGGCCAACATTATCGCGTATGCCTGTACGCGAGCAGCTCTAAGTAGGCTGGCCTGTGAGTCTGTCAAATTCGGCTGGCCTGCATTCGTGAGGCTGGCCAGGAGATAGTCGAGGTATAGGGCGCCAGAAATGTAGGGATATAATGGTTGACATGCGCGGTGTTTAGAGCCTCGTGCTAGAAGCAGCTTGCATCTAGAGGACATACTACATCGAGGTAAGTTCAAGCTGTTTCTGTCGAGTGCAGTCTGTGCGACCAGTCCGCTTACGCAGGCAGAATGCTCACGTAGACGTCTGGGACTGAAAAGAATAGCGAGCCAGAGTTGCCTGGGCATGTAAAACAAGAAGTTGCGTCTGTCGGTTGCCAAAGGTATGCTCAACACGGCTGTGTCACAATAGCAAAACGTATGGATGTTGTTGTGTAGTGAGAAAGCAACGGGGTACGTCCTTGTTGGGGACCCAAGAGCCCACTGAGAGCATGGGGAATGGAGGGTAGCCTGTGCCTGGTTCCCTCGGAGTGTCTAGCGTTAGCTCTGTGTGCTGCTAGACCCGCGCCGTGGGCGGCTGTAAAAGGAGGGCGGCACCTTCGGTGTCCCTCAAAGTGTCAGCAATATAGGGCCCCATGCGTCACACCATCCCATGGTACCCGCTCCCACCTCTCCCGACCGACCTGTGATTGAGATTATCAAGCTGTGCATATAGCCTGGCCTGTACCAGTAATATGCTGGCCGAGTGCACAGATGTCTGGCCTGTATTGATACAGGCTGGCCAGAATCACAGGTCCGGGGTGCGCAAGAAGAGTGGGGATGGCGTGATATTAGATGCGCGGCGCCTGGAACATCTTGTAGAATCAGCTTGTAGCAACATGAGACACCTGAGATCCTGAGATGAGTACAAGCTGCTTCTGTCGAAGTGCAGAGTTAGTGCGACCAGGCCGTAGAAGCAAATGTTGAGAGAGGTGATGCTCCTCCTCCACACCCTACTACCCATACCCACCACCCGCCCAAGAGCGTGTTATCCTAAGCACCCTGTGTGCGGACGGTATGCCTGCTGGGGCCGACCCCGCAGTGGGACCCAAGTGAGCACTGAAGCGAGGTAAGGATTACGGTGGCAAGTGGGGTATGAAATCGAGTTCGGGGTCAGACCTTGTGGGGACCCAACCAAGTGTGCACGGTGTTCTTTGCGATAGGGCATTGGAGGTTTACCCCAATACTCCTCCTCTTTCTCCTCCTCCTCCTCCCTCTTCTCCTTCTTCTTCTTCTTCTCCTCTTATTCCTCCTCCTAATCCTCCGCCCACTTCTCCCCATACCAGGATGAGGTATGGAAGTTGGCGTCAAACTCTCGCACACAGGCGCGGCGCTGCGCGCTGCGTCGGCGCACAGGCCATGCTGCACTCCCCCGCGCTGTCGCACGAGCTGGCCCTGAACGAGCCGGTCGGCCCTGCAGGGGTGATGCGGTCCGACCTCGGGGTCGCGGTTGTCGACTTCGTCGTCGTCTTCGTCGTTTCGTCTCGTCGTCGTCCTCGTCCTCGCCGACGCCGTCCGTCGTCGGCGTTGTCGCCTTCGTCTTCGTCCTCGTCTTCGTCCTCGCTGTATTGTTTTTGCCGTGCACTGTCGTGCTTAGCCCCTTTGGCCAATGCCGGCGTCTTGGAACAATCAAGACGCAAGTGCTTGAAATGTTTGTCATATTCGGCCTCCAGGGGGCCGCGCCTGGTCCCTGGGGCCGTTAGCAATTGTCTGGGATGAACGCCGCTTGCAGCGATACGCCCCTCCCCGAAGGGGAAAAACGGGGTGGAACACCGATCTCTTCTCTCACCAACGCCCAGAGGCCAGTGGGATGTTTGGCTGGCGAAGAATGTTTTGCGTGTGGCGTTGCCGCACTTTGCTTTCGGTGGGGCTCAGCCGATGTTCCCGAAGTATTGCTTTCACTTAGGGTTTTTTATTTCGCTTTGAAGGAACTGGGCCCAGTTGGCCAGTCTGGCGGCTCCGTGCCGGCCGTCGCCGCCCCGTCGCCGCCTCGTCGCCGTCGCGTCGCCGCCCGTCGCCGCCGTTGGAGTGCACCACGTAGACTGCAGGAAGTAATGTCTCGCCTCCGCCGTGTGTTGATCGCTCACAACACAGGTTGCATTATTTGTATCATGCACAACGTAGGCTGCACTGCACCACAAAAATTGCACAACATATATTGCACAACTACTACATAAATCACGCCACACATAATGCACCACATATATTGCGCAACCACCAATGTTGCACAACATAAATTATCCGACGTCGACTCTCCTTTCTAAAAGCAGAATATAGACTCTATCCCCCCGGGATCATCGGTACCCCTTTTCGTATGGCAATTTGCACATGATTCTCCCCCATCGTTAATCCCAAATAGAAATTTACACCATCCAAGGGGGGCCGGTATCGCCCCCCCCGCCATCCACTGCAACAAATTATATGCGCGCGTGTTCGTTTATTAACAATCATAAGTTGGGAGAAATTCCTTGCACAAGATGAGACGAAGTGCAAACGCGTGCGTCGTCGCGCGCACATGCCGAAATCCTTGAAAACCCCCGGTTTCGCAAGGATTTCAAAAGGGTTTCGCAACACGGATCTTCAAAAACAACTTGTGCGCGCGCTCTTGCGAATTCTTCAGAAATGCTACCAAACGGGCTTCGCGCGCGCATGTCGAAATCGTTCGAACGCCTTTGTGCGCGTGCCGTCGCTCGAATCCCTCTGCAAACAATGGGACGAAGTGCACGCGCGCGCGTCGTCGCGCGCTCATGCCGAAATCCGTCAAACACTTTGATTCGTAGCGATCTAAAAACCGAGTACCCAAAACACATACAAAAACACATGGTTCCGCGCAACATCCGTTTTCAAAAAAGCGTGCACTCGCGTTCTTGCGAATTTCTTAGCTAACCATACGTTGTACAACATTTTCATAGAATTCTGCCAAACAGGGCTTTCGCGCCGCATGCCGACATCATTCGCACGCCCTTGCGCGCGTGCTGGGAGGCACGATCCAGGGTCAAATCATACCATGTGGGCCACTCTCGCGCGTTGGCCGCGCGCGCATGTCGAACTCTTTCCAAAACCCTCATCACCGACTCGAGGACATCGTCATCGTGATCGGCGTGGTCAGCATCGGCGCCCGCACTGGCCGCGCCGTCGTCGTTGTCAACATCGTCACCAGTATCGTTACTATCATCATCGTTTCTACGGTTGTCGACGTTGCCATGATACCGCGCCCGCCCAAGTCAGCGACTCGCATTGAAGTGCCCGCTGGGAGTTGCCCAGCGGTCAACGCCACTGCGGCCGCGTCGGTCGCGCCAAGCTAAGTGGCCTCTGCGCGCGCGTGCTTGGGCTGGCGCGCCCGCAGGGGTGCACCAGCCAACGCCAAACATGCATCGCAAGCGCCCCCGTTGGGTTTTGCAAACCAAGTTGCGGGTGGGTGGGTGGGAGTTTTGCAAGTGCGCGGGATGTGTCATTGTTTATTCGTATTATGATTTGTTATTATTGTTTTTTATTATTACTATTCGTATTTTTCTTTTCTTATTCTTATTATGATTCGTATTATCATTATTTGTTGTAAGCAACACCATTTGCACCACACATAGTTTCTTCCCAAACATAGTGTTCTGATCAACCCCCGCCCTGGACTTAACGGTCCGCCATTTTCTATTGCAGTTTATCTATGATTCTTCCCTGTCGCCGACCCTGACTTTGAATTCGTGCCATCCCAGGCATTCCCTTATCGCCCTCCCCCCTCATCCTCTGCAGAAGCTGTTATGCGTGTACAGTCGTTTATCACAAGCCATCAATGTTCAAGAAGCCATTGTAAATCATGTGACGAAGTACGCTCGCAAGCGTCGTCGTGCGCGCATGCCGACATCTTTCAAACAAAGCCAGGTTTCGTAAGGATTTTAACATCAAGCGTTCCGAACACATGTTCAAACACTTTGTTTTGCAGCATCAGTTTTTGAAAAATGGTCTGCACGCGCGCTTTTGCGAATTCAAAACAATTTCTTAACAGGAAATGATCATCAAATGCTACCAAACGTGTCTCTCTAGCGCGCATGTCGGAATCGTTCGAACGCGCCTGCGCGCACGCAATCTCAAGAATCCATCCAAAAACTGGACGAACTGCAGTCGAGCGGGGCGTCGCGCGCGCATGCCGGTATCCGTAAAAAATTTGAAATTTCGTAAGGATCTTATTATCTAGTGTCCCGAACACGTGTGAAATTGAGAAAATCATGGTTTTGCAGCATCAGTTTTCGAAAGAAGCTTGCGCGCGCAAGAACATCTTCGGTTCGTCACCACGCGGGCTTTTCCGCGCCGCACGTCGAAATTATTCGAACGCCCTTGCGCGCGTGCCGGGGGGGAGGGGGTACGATCCCTGTCAGATATTTCCATGGGGGCGACTCGCGCGCGTCGGCCGCGCGCGCATGTCGAAGTCGTCATCGCCACCAGCGTGATCAGCTTCGGCGCTGTCATCATCGGCATCATCGTCACAGTCATCAATACTATCATGATCGTGTCTACCGTTGTCGGCGTCACCATGATACCGCGCCCGCCCGGGTCAGCGACTCGCATTGAAGTCCCCGGCCGGGGAGTGTACAGCGGGCGGCGCCACCGCGTCCGCGTCAGTCGCGCCAAACTAGCTGGCCGCTGTGCGAGCGAGAATGCGGAGGTTAGCGGCCCCCCAAAGATACACCAGCCAACACCAAGCACTCATCACAATCGCCGCCGCATGGGTTTAGCAAACCAAATTGCGGGTGGGTGGGTGGGATGATTGCACGGGCATTATTGCTGACAACCGCAAGTTTTTCAGTGAATTCTCCTTTCTAAAAAGAGGGTAGACTCCACCCCTCCCCCCGGACTTATCGGTTCCCTTTGGGATAATATGATTTCATATATATATATATATATATATATATATATATATATATATATATTCTGCACACTCGTCCATCGTAAAAATGAAATCATACCATCCCAGCTAGGCCGGTTTCCCCCACTGAGATTCCCTGGTGAAAAAAAAACACTATGCGGTGACATTTTTGGTTTTAACATAACACCTTTCACGAATCCCTTGCAACAAAAAACACTATGCGGTGACATTTTTGGTTTTAACATAACACCTTTCACGAATCCCTTGCAACAGATGAGACGAAGTGCACACGCGCGCGTCGTCGCGCGCGCATGCCGAAATCCTTCAAAACCTTCGGTACGGGAAGGATTTCGCAATCGAGTTTCCAAAAAACATACAAAAACACAGGGTTTCGCAGCACAGAGTTGCTAAAACATCTTCCGCGAAAGCTCTTGCGAAATCTTAAGAAAACCATATGTTTTTCAATTTTTCACAAAATGCAACCAAACGGGCTTCGCGCGCGCTCATGTGGAAAGCTGTCGAACGCCCTTGCGCGTGTGCCGTCGCGAGCATCCCTTGCAAAAAATGAGACGAAGTGCAGACTCGCGCGTCGTCGCGCGCATATGCCGAAAACCTTCAAAACCCATCGGTTTCGGAAGGATTTCAAAATCGTGTGTCCAAAAAACCTACAAAAACACAAGGTTTCGCAACACGGATTTTCAACAAAAGCGTGCGCGCGCGCTCTTGCGTCGTCGTCGTCGTCGTCTTCCCTCCTCCCGCGTCGTTGTCGTCGTCGTCGTCGTCGCCTACGTCGTCCTCTGTCTTTCCTCGTGTTCGTCGTCGTCGTCCTCTTTGGCATCGTGGTCGTTTCCGTCGTCGTTGTCGCCGTGGTCGTCCTTCCTCCTCCTCCCTCGTCGTCGTCGTCGTCCGTCGTCGGCGTCTCGTCGTCGTCCCTCCTATTTCGTCGCCGTCGTCGTCGTCGTCGTCGTCGTCGTCGTCGTTCCCTCCTCCCTCGTCGTTGCCGTCGTCGGCGTCGCCGTCCTTCCTCCTTCTTCGTCGTTCGCGTCGTCGCCGTCCTCCCTCCTCCCTCGTCGTTGTCGTCGTTGTCGCCGTCGTCGTCCTCCCTCCTTCCTCGTTGTCTTCGTTGGCGACGTCGTCGTCGTCTTCGTCGTCGTCGTCGGCGTCGGCGTCGTTGTCGTATTCGTCGTCGTCGACGTCGGCGTCGTCGTCGTCGCCGCCGTCGTCGTCGTCGTCGTCGTCGGCGTCGTTGTCGTCTTCGTCGTCGTCGACGTCGGCGTCGTCGTCGTCGCCGCCGTCGTCGTCGTCGTCGTCGTCGTCGGCGTCGTTGACGTCGTCGTCGTCGTCGTCGTCGTTATCGTCGTCGTCGTCGGCGTCGTCATCGTCGTCGTCGTCGTCATCGTCGTCGTCGTCGTTGTCATCGTCGTCGTCGTCGTCGTCGTCGGCGTCGGTGTCGTCGTAGTCGTTTTCGGCGGCGGCGTCATCGTCGTCGTCGCTGTCGTCGTCGGTGTCGCTGTTGTTGCCAAGTGCCATGTGGTACCCACCGTCACGGTCTTAAGAGATTTTGCAAACCAAGTTGCGGGTTGGTGGGTGGGATGTTTGCGCGAGCAGTGGAATGGACAACTCATTGCGAACAGAAATTACTTGCACCGCATAGAGTGCACCACATTCATTGGGCCAGATAGATTCTCTGATCTAAGAAAGACTCGGGTGATTTGCTGTTTTCTTTGGTTAATTCATACATGCCCTTCGTGACCCTAGTTCTGGGTTCGTCCTACCCTAGCTCACTCGGTACCGATCCCTCCTAACGGCGTCTGCACAAAAGCAGTATGCGTGCACATTTGTTGACCAAGAAGCAGCTGTATCCAACAATTCCTTGCAACACATCGGACAACTAACGCACGCGCGCGTCGTCGCGCGCGCATGCCGACATGCTGCAACAACTCACTGTTTCGTTCAGATTTCAACATCGATGTTTCCGAACACATAGAGCCACATGGTTGTGCAACATCCATGGTCGACAAGAGTTCTGCACGCGCACCCTTGCGAATTTTTAGGTGTAGCAAGGCGAATGGTTCGCCCAAAAAAAGCGATTGGTTCGTCACAATTTCGTCACCCTCGACCACGCGTGCCTTTCGCGCGCGCATGCCCAAGTCATTCGGACGCCCTTGCGCGCGTTCTGTGCGGGGCACAATCCATGTCAAATGATACCATGCAGGCCGCTCGCGTGCGTCGGCTGCGCGCGCATGTCGAAATCTTTCCAAGACCTTCATCACCGATGCGGGGACGTCGTCATCGCCATCGGCGTGATCAGTATCGGCGCCGTCATTGGCCTTGCCGTCGTCATCGCCATCATCGTCACCATCATCACTATTAGCATTATCGTGTCTACCGTTGTCGACGTCGCCATGATACCGCACTCGCCCAAGCCACTGACTCGCATTGGCGTGCCCGCGCATCAGCGCGGCCTGCGAGACGCACTGGGCAGTGCCCAGCGGGCAGCGCCACCGTGACGGCGTCGGTCGCTCCATACTAACTGGCCGTTGTACGCGCGAGCATGTGCGGGCCAGCACGACGGCAGGGATGCACCAGCCAGCACTTACCATTCATCGCAATCTTCGCCGCATGGGTTTTGCAAACCAAATTGTGGATTGGTGGGTGGGTGGGTGGGATGGTTTCGCGGGCAGTGGAGCTGATATCCTCAAGTTTCTTTGTCGCACCTAACTGTTTAATAGTACCACCCTAACTGTTACACCTACACCTAAGTGTTACACGCCGAATGCACGATTTGTGTTTCGCGTCTGCGGCGCGCTTTTTGACAGTTCAAAGCATATATTGCACAACATCTTTTGCACAACACATAGTGCACTTGAAGGTTTGCGCCACATATATTGCAGCACACATGTTGCAAACATAGATTGCACCACATAGACAACGCGACACACACATAGATATAGTACAACGTAGATAGCTACACATACACTGTTTGGGGTCCGCTTCGGCTAACATATTTAAGATCGGATTGTGCCACCAATGATCTCGAAACCTTTCTTTCTGTCGTGTCGTAGAAGAGGAGCCTTGCGACCTAGCGAGACCCGAACTCTATATCCGCAGAAAGCAATTATACACCACCTCCATGCCTGGCCATGGCCATGCGTGGCCAAGGCATGCCTGGTTAAGTCGGAACCGATTTCAAGCGGATTTTCGTTGGGGGGGGTGGATGGGGACTCTGGCATGCGGGCGTCGCGAAAATGAGGATGGGCCTCTTCTAGTCCCGTTTCGGAAATTGGGGCCCTCACGGAGTGATTTGGTTCGGGAGGTCTCGCTCAAAGGTGGGATTGAGAGCGTCGGTCGTGATCTTTCCTTTCGCGGCTTCTAAATTTCCACCGACGTCGGATGTGCCTGAGACAAGGGCGCGCGGGGGAGAGTGTCAAGGGAGGGGAACAAGAAAAACGCATATCGAGGTCAATCAGGGGTACGTGTGGCCCTTCCCTTTCTTCCCTTTGAACTTGTCTTTTTCCAGTCTTGAATTTGATCTTCTCGGCTCTTTCGATTGATTGATGGATGTGAGGGACCCGGGTGCCTGCATGGCTCACGTCTGGCTTCTCCATTTCCACCGTTCCCTTTGCCTCCTTTTCTGTATCCTCCCTCCATTCCTCTCCTCCCACTCCCTCCCATCAGATTCCGGCGGGAAATCGCGACGGCTTGTCTCGCCCAGGTTTCGGGCACGGTGGTTTCCCCAGAGTGCTCTCCTCACGTCGTAGAATCTCAGACAGTCTTAGACGCTCGTGTCCCCTTCCTCCCCGCTGGCTGTGGGCAGAGAAGAGCCTGCTCGTTAAGTGAGCAATCGCGAGCCCGCCCCATTACAGTCAACCATGATAGTGAGGATGGGGCAACTTTCCAAGGCTACCCTTGCATCCTTGTCCCTTCGGTATTCGGCATCCTTCGGCATTCTGCTGCGTTCCGCACGGAATACGTCAACATGGCGTTCCAAGGCTCTTGCATCCTTACCGCGCATCCCTACTATCCTGGTCGAGTGTAGTTTGCACTGGCGGGCTGGCCCTGTGGGTTCTATTGGGCAGCCCTGCCTTGCCCGGCTCCTCGGCAGCTGTGCGTGAAAGGGACCCCCCGTGCACCGGGCCGGTCACGGTGCGGGTGGTTTTTGTCCGCCCCTGGCGGCCTCAAAGAGGGGGGTGAGGACCAGGGGGGGTGGATATCATGGCCCAGGTCATGATACCTCCCTGGATCTCATGTTTTTTTTTCTTCCTTCAACGCGTCCCTTTGCCCCCCCCCACTGGGCCGCGCACGCTCGGGCCAGTTGTCGCCGAAAAGCTCCCTCTCGGACGCCCTCACCTCGGATGCCCCCCGAGAAATAGGCCTCCCATGGGCGGGGGCAATTGCGGTGCGGCTGGTTCGTCCGACTTCTGACCTCGCCCTGTCAACGCCTTGTCTCGCGCCCTCCAACTCGGCGGCGAGCGCAGGGGGGAAACGAGAAGGAGAAGGCCTTCCCAGAAGGCTCGGAAGTCCCCCGGCCTTCTAAGAAGTTTTCTAAGCCTTCCCCGAAGGCAAAACAACTTCTCAGAAGGCGCGTGGGCTTCTGAGAAGTCCCGCCGCCTTCCGAGAAGGCCTTCCCCTTCTCATTTCCCCCCTCGCTCGCCGCCGACCAGCGGTTCGGGATCTTTTCTTTTTGTGCTCCTGCGGAGAGGCAGGTGCTCGGAAAGATCGGGGGCGACGGTCCGCCTTGCCCTCGCGCTTCCCTGCTTCAGGCGCCGTTTTCCCTCGCTCGCTCGCTAGCTCGCCAACGAAAGCCTCGAGCTCTGGGCCTGCACCCTGGAAAACGGCGACGAGAGGCGGGATGGGACGGAACCCTCGCCTGCGCAGGAGCTGGAAAGATTGGGCCCCTCCTCCTCCTACTCCTCCGACGGGGGTCCGCAGCCGCCTTGGCACAGGCCGCCCTGGCTCAAAGTGGCCTCTTGTTTTTTTTAGCGGCCCGAGCTCGTCACCTTGTCTTGCCCTGCGAGGGGCGCAGGTCATGGACGTCGTCAGGGGGATCCTCCTGGAGCAGATAAGGTTGCGGCTGCAGTCTCACGCCCAGGTGGAAAGTTTCGTGATGAAAGTCGTGTGCGTGATCTTGGCGGAAGGGTTGTCAAACACATTCTACCGCGGCATGACCGCAATCATAGCAGGGGATGGCACGATGACGGACCTCCAGGCACTGATTGCACGGTCAATGTACGTTGCATTCGTCACTTTGTATGCTCCTGTCGTGGCATGGGTTATCGAGAAGACTAAGTGGATAATGACGGGACGCTCCTTCCCTGCTACCTCCATCAAATTGCAAAGGAAGGTTTGTCCTGTCCTTTTGGCATGGGGCTGGAAGGATTGGGCAGCTCAATTGGACACCTGGGCAGGAGCTGAGTTGTGGGACGAGGCTGCTGTAGCTATTTGCTTGACTGTGGTTGTGGTTGTGCTACAGACGATTCCTGTATACATCCAAGCTAAGCGAGGAGTTGCAGCTGGTGGCAGTGAAGACAGGCTAATTCGGCGGATTTTCATTTTCCCCAGCAGCATGATGCTTACACTTGGATATGTTTGGAACCTTGTTGCCACTTGGTTCGTGACCCAAGTGCAGGACCAGTACCATCGTCCTACAGATGATCCCGCGTACGCTTATCAGTTTATGGTTCAGGCCACCTACACAGTGGTTCTTGGAATCCTAGTTGCTGTTTTCAGTGTTCGAATTCTTCTGGCCAGAGCGGAGTCGAAGCATGTTAGTGTTGACAGCCATTGGGATGGACCCGGTCAAACAGCGTGGAGCGACGTCGCTCTCAGCACCATGTCATTTGTTTACGCATGGGCGGTTTTGGATTCTTGTGACGACTGGGGCTTTGGTTTGATGTTTAATTGCACGAGCCCAACGGTCTGTTCATATCAAAGCAATTTCGTATACTCTTGCTGCGTGACGGTTTGTTTTGCCATTTGTGCGATAACGCTCAATAGATGGCAGCAGTTCGAAGAGAGGCCGATGATCACGACGATGATCGGGCTTCAAATCAACGCGATGATCCTCACAGTCGGGTGGGCTTGGATGAATTTCTACACGGTCTTCATGTCGAGTGCTACTCAGCAGACGAGGGCTAGCACGGCCTTTGCTGTCCACATTTTGGTGCTTAATAGTCATCATCGTTTTCACGTCAATCGTGATGTACGCGCTCGAGAGCATACGGAGAGACCAGACATCCCGCTCGAGGCAGCAAATCGACGCCCTGGAGGCCATCGGGCCCCAGGCTCCCCCCCGCCTCCCCGGGGAGACGGACGGCAGCTTCCAGGCGAGGTGCCTGGAGAGCGAGGCTCGCTACAAGTCCTGCGACGAGAGCCTGCCCGCCGACAACTCCCTGAGCGCCTGGCCGAGCGCACCGGCGGAGGTCGAGGCATGCCGCTGAACGGTCTGGCGCCTCCCAGCAGCCTCGGCGCCCGAGAGGCCTGCGCGCCACGCCCCAGGAGCGCCCGAGCAGTCTGAGCCGTCGGGGGCTCGGGCCCCTCAGGGCACTGCAGCCTCTCGGCCTCTCACGGCTGCTGCACGGCGTGACGGGGCCCGGGGATGCTCCATTTGCGTTCCGCAGTTCGCGTTGGCGGGTGCTCGCCAGTAGTCCTCCACCCCAAGCGACGTCAGACAGTCCTGCCAGCCTCACCATGCGCTCTTCTGCCCCCCGTCCACTGACACTCTCCCATGCTCGCCTCTTTACGCTCGCCTCTTTTGCAGGCACTCCTCCCTCACTTTCCCGAAATCGCCTAGACATGCGACGTCGTGAAAAACACGACGTCGTGAAAGAGACGATTGCCGCGCTCACTCCCATCTTTATGCGGGAGCTCTGAAGCCCGATTAGCTGTGCGCTTGATGATGTCTCTGTGCTTGGTTGGTGTCGAAGTGGCCGAGGGCTCAGTCCAACCAGCATTCATCGGAGCCATTGCCAAACAATGAATGCTCTGGGGGCCACCGTTCCTCGTGCTGGGGCCTGCCGAGCGACAGGGTCAAGGCGTCGCCCGCCCGGCCCTCGTCCCTGCTGCCCGTCGCAGCTTTTCCCTGCTCCACCTTGTGAGCTGTCCGCCTCTGCTGTGCCGGCAGCTGCGCTGGCAGCTGCGGGCGGGCTCGCTTGTGGCACAGCAATCGGAAGAGAATGATCAGACGCGCTATTTGGAAGTATCTAGACGCCTGAACTGAGTCTGCTCTCAGCGCTCGGGCTGAAAAACTAATCGTGCTCTGCTCATGACTTGTAGAGCTTTTCTAAGAGCGTTAGCGGCGAAGCTACTCGCTTCTGGACCCCAAGTTTCGGTGCGGGCTGCCGCAGCGTGAGGGCTCTGCGGCCAGCTCCTCCGCCCATGGTGCGGAGCTCCGCGGGCCATCGCCAGCTCCTCGAGCTCTTCGTGGAAGCGTCCCTCTCGTGCTGGGCTTCAGTTCTCGTCGCCCAAAATTAACAATTTGCCGACGAAGAATTGTTAAGGATTTTCCAACATGACCACTTGTGTTTTTTCCATCCCAGGTCGATGATCATGCAACCATTGAGGGCCGACCGCGTCTCCGAGGGCCTCCGTGCCGAAGAGGCCGCCGTCGTCCAGCACATGCTTTCCGCCGTCGGGCAGCCTCGCGACGTCCAGCCCCGGCAGTCCCTCGGGGAGGCTCTCCGATCTGACGACGGTGCCATGCAATCGGTGCGCTGTTGACTGGCATGTGGTGCGGGCCAAACTCACTGCCGCCGATTGCCTGCCAGCATCGAGCTGCGCCTCCTCGAACGGCTTCTCCCATCGCTCGCACCTGTCGATGTCCTTGCTGAGCAGCGTCTCGGCGCCGCCCTGTGCAGCCATCGCTGCCTCCACTGACGCGCCTCTGTCAGCCAGCGTCTCCTTGCGTTCGTCGAGCTTGGCCTGCCATGCTGGGCTGACTCCTCGTCACCGCTGGCTGTGAGCAGCGCCGCCAACTCACAGGCGCTGCTCCTCCTCACCTCTGCCGTCACCCTCTGCCAGCCACTATTCGGCCTCACGGTTGATGGGGACTACGCTGGGCGACCTCCTTTTAGCCATGCTGCTTTGCCGCTGGTTCATGGGCTGCCGCGCTTCCGCCACGGTGCTTGACACGCAGGCCAAGGAGAACAATCGCCGCGACGAGGTCGTGGAGCATCTTCATGCGGCCCGGGCAGGCTCTTGCAATGCCTGCGCCACTCCCACCATCGCGAGGCCTTCGCACACCTGCAAGACGGACACCCGAAGAATGATCGGCTCTGCGACTCCGCCTGGCCACCTCCAGTTGCCGTGGCGAGATGTGGGCGATGGTCGGTGAGGGTTCTGCCGCCGTCCGTGCTAGCGCGGAGCGGCTGTGGTGGACGGGACTTGTAGATCGTGAAAGGGGTGCGTCTGCGGGGAGTTCCCCGACACGGCCTTGAGCTAAGATGGCCTGAGCAAAATGGCTACGGACCCTCCCCCTGCAGTCAAATCTTCGGGACAAGGTCCACTTACATTTCGAAAGGGGCTCGATGTTCCTTGGGATAGTTATTGAATGGGCGTTTGCCTGGCGCTCTTCGTGCATCTGGGCTCAACAGGGGCCCAGAAGGGGTTTCGTGCCTCATCCGAGTTTACTCATGGCTAAACTTTACCTTTATTCCTTTTCCTCCTTTCTTCTCCTCCCCGATCACGCTCTTCCATCCTGCCAAACAGTTCGCGCGTTAAACGAGGATCAGGCCCAGCATCAAAGCTGGCGCCCCATTCGCCGCCAGGGCAGCCGGCCTGCGAGCAGGTGCGCTGCGGAAAATATCTCCCAGGGACCCGCAGAAGCCCTGGGGCACCGTAGGGAATTTACTAATCGATGACAAGTTGGCCCCTTGATTGCCTTACTGAACGATTGCTTTTCGTATGTTGTATGGTTATTCTGCACTTACCTTCCTGGAGTTCTTCCCCTGCTCCTTCTCCTCCCTCGTCCTCTCCTCCCGAGGCCTCCGATGTCATTGGTTTCGTGGGCCGCAGAGATCTCGACCCCTTCCCTGTGACCTTCTTTCCTCTCTGGGCCCCTGTAGTGTGGTGATAATTTGCTGAACTTGCCCCTCTCCCTACTCCTTCTCCTCCCTCGTCCTTGTCCCTCCACGCCGAATGATGCCGAATCCGAGAAGAATATCAGGAAAGAGCGAAAGCACAATGCTGTATGTCCGGGTCCTCATACTCCCCCCTCCTCGTCCTCATTCGTTCCTTCGTTCCCTCCCTCTTCCTCCCACGCATCCTCATCAACTGTGGCAGGAAGGGTTCAGCGAGGCTTTTTCACACACGTTGCCGCTCGTGGCATTTGCAGAGCACGATCCGGCTGTAAGATCTGCTCGGGCTTGCGCTAAAATAGCTGCGGGAAGCCAGTGCTGACGTGAGCAGCGACAGCAATCCATCACCCACCACCTACCCCAACCTCTACAAATTCGTGTACATGATGTTGTGCAACCGTTTTAGAGATGAACAGCCCGCAATGTACCGACTTGGACCTCTGGCTTTGGATCGTTCCCCAAATTGCGAGCGAGAAACACTCAAGCCAGAGCCTAAGAGTGGGCTGCGAGTTAAGAGCCAAGATCCTTCCTCTCTCCCTCTCTCCTCTCACACACCCTCTCTTCCTCTTTTCGGCGGCGAGCCTGGGGGGAAGTGAGAAGGGGCGGGCCTTCTAAGAAGGCTCAGACGTCCTTTGGCCTTCTGAGAGGTTTTCTCAGCCTTCTCCGAAGACGCAGAAGGCTTCTCAGAAGGCTCCAAGGCTTCTGAGAGGCCTCGCCGCCTTTGAGAAAGCCTTCTCCTTCTCACTTCCCCCCCTCGCTCGCCGCCGATCTCTCCTCACACACACCCTCCCCCTCTGGGGAAACCAACAGGTATCGATACCGCTACTCACCGGCCCTCTCCTTGGATGCGTTCTGACCAGAATCTCGAGGCGAATCCAGCAGCGGCGACGCGCAAAGTGGGAAAACCGGCGAAGGGTAGCCGTATCGGTACCTTTTTCCTCCTCTGACGCCCTCCTTCACGCTCTCAGCTGGCCCGCTGGGTGGGAAAGTTCCTCGTGGCGCTGCCGAGTTGAGCCTTTCTCCCTCCCCCTGGGGCCACCGTGCGCCAGACCCTGCGGGGCAGCTGCCTTCAGCTGCGGGGTCGGCCCGGTCTCCCGCTCGGAGATGTACGGGCCAACGCTCCCCCCCCCCCCCCGTGAGGGCCAGCACGATCGGAGGAGGGTCGATCCCAAAACAAACGACGCCACCCCACCTACGGCCCGCCATGCTGCGCTACGACCCATTTGGGGCAGTGGCGTCTACCACGTCAAACCCACGCCAGATTTCCTGGTGTACGCGAAGCCCCGTGGGGCCGTAGGTGGGGTGGTGTCGTTTGTTTTCTGGTCCACGATCTGAGGAGGGGGGCGGGTGCATCCAGGCTTGCTTGTAGGCGCGCCAAAGCATGTTCTAATCACCTTCTTTGGTTGTGCGAAGTGTTGTTAGAGCACCTTTGGCTAAGACTGTCCTGTTTCAATGCATCGGCGTTATGCTCTTAGAACATATCTTGTGCTCTCAGAGCAATCTTTTATAATTAGAAACATTATTGGTAGGCCGATCGGCATGCGGGGACGGTCGGTCCTTGCTCGACATACGGGCCAGCACAATCGGAGGAGGGTGGCGGAAGGAACTGGGGACGAGGACCGAGTATCGAAGAAGGAGGCACACGGCGCAGCACATAACATTCTGTGCGGAGCTCGGAAAGTTTACATTCCCCAACATCCAAAGTGGGGCTCTCTTTTCTCTGCACTCCACAGCGCAGGATCTCCTTCCCACCCTCTTCCTCACAATCACCATCGTATCCACTCACTCTCATCACACTCATCGGCGTCATCACTCACACACTCACACACCCATCATGATTATCATGATCATCATCATCACCATCATCATCAGCAGCAGCATCATCATCATCATCATCATCATCGCCATCATCATAATCATCATCATCATCATCATCATCATCATCATCATCATCATCATCATCATCATCATCATCATCATCATCATCATCATCATTATCATTATCATTATCATCATCATCATCATCATCATCATGGTGACGATCATGATCATGATCATGACCATCATCATCATCGTCATCATCATCATTCACTCATTCACTCCTCGCTTCTCACTTTTGGGCTCCTGAGGCGTGAATCTGAAGGACGTATCAAGCGGATGCCTCGTCTCTGAGTGAGGAAGCCTCAAGCGGGAGCCTCGTTTGTGAGTGAGTTGTGGGGAAGTCCCAGGCGGGAGCCTCCTCCCTATGGGGCCCGCAGTTAAGTTTTTAATCCGAGCAGGTCATCCTCAAACCTGTAACTGTGTTTTTTTGCGGCTCCACAGGCTTGAATATGGAGAGAGTATCAGGCGGGAGCCTCGTCTGTGAGCGAATTGCGAGGAAGTCTCAGGCGGGAACCTTGTCCAGGACTGAGTTGTGAGGAAGTCTCAGGCGGGAACCTCCTCCCTTTGGGGCCAGCAGCTGATGTTTTTAATTCGAACAGGGCATCGCTGTCGTGACTTTTGAGTTTCTCAGGCCTGAAGATGGAGGGAGTATCAGGCGGTAGCCTCGTCTCGGAGTGACTTGCGAGGAAGTCCCAGGCGGGAGCCTCCTCCCTATGGGGCCCGCAGCTCATGTTTTTAATCAGAGCGGGTCATCCTCAAACCTGTAACTCTCGTCATTTTTCGGCTCCACAGGCTTGAACATGGGAGGAGTATCAGGCGGGAGGCTCGTCTGTGAGCGAATTGCGAGGAAATCTCAGACTGGAGCTTCGTCTGGAAGTGAACTGTGAAGATGTCTCAGGCGGGAGCCTCCTCCCTATGGGGCCCGCAGCTAATGTTTTTCATCCGAGCGGGTTCTCCTCAAACTTGTAACTGTCGTCTTTTTTGGGCTCCTCAGGCTTGAATATGGATTGTCAGGTGGGAGCCTCGTCTGGAGTGATTTGCGCGGAAGTCTCAGGCGGGAGCCTTGTCTGGGAGCGAATTGCGAGGAAGTCTCATGCCGGAGCCTCCTCCTTATGGTGCCCGCAGCCTTTTTTAATCCGAGCGGGTCATCCTCAATCTTGAAACTGTCGTGACTTTTGGGCTCCTCAGGCTTGAATATGGAGGCTGAATCAGGCGGGAGCCTCGTCTGGAGTGATTTGCGGGGAAGTCTCAGGCGTGGAGCCTCGTCTGGGAGTGAAGTGCGAGGAAGTCACAGGCGGGACCTCCCTCCCTATGGGGCACAGATTGCGCAGATCCCACAGGCCCACGCTCGCGCACAAGTCCTACAGGTCGCGCCAAGTCTCACGAATACCAAGGGGCCCATAGGTCCCACAGGTCCCACTGGGCCTGGAGGTCCCACGGGTCCCACAGGCCCCGCAGGTCCCACGGGGCCCGCAGGTTGCAGGTCCCACGGGCTCCATATGTCTCACAGGTCCAACAAGCTTCACAAGTTCCAACGGGGT